TGGTTATGAAGGATCATAAGTGTTTTCACTCGCCGGGGCAGCCCACTGGGAATCCTCTCCAGCATGTTGTTGTACAGGTGGACAGTGTGCAGCTTCTTTAAGCCCTGGAAGGCTAATGGGTGAATACCTCGGGCTTTTAATTTGTTATTGTGGAGCAGAAGATACTCCAGGTTCTTAATTTGGGTCAAGACATCTCTGCCAATCACTTTAATTGCATTCTTCTCCAGGTGAAGGAGGACGATGTTTCGAGGTAAACCACTTGGGATTTGTGAGAGGTTATTGCTGGACAAATCCAGATATTCCAGACTAGACAATTTCCTTGGGAAAGCAGGAAAGAAAACACTCTCCATTTAGATTCTGCAAGGTGAAACAACAACCAACTTCCCCATGCATTTTACAACCTTTGCTTCAGAGTCTTTTTACCCAGCACAGCTCCCACTGCTGCCCTTTTTGGTCTTAGGACGCGACTGATGTGGCCAGCAAAACAAGGAGCCATGAGGGATTAGGACTAGGTGCTGCCACTGTTCCCCAGCCACACTTGCAAGAGAACCTGCTTGAGTCCACAGGCATCCAGCCTGCCTCTGGGCTGAGACCCGAGATCAGTTTTGTAGTCTACTGTTCTCTCATTTGACACCACATATAGCAACATGAGAGCAATTTCAGTGAACCAGTACCACAAGAAAGATGCTATGGGAGTGCCATTAGAACACAGAATTTAGCCCTTGGTTGCACAGAAACATAGGCTGAGCATGAGTCTTTCTGTCACTCTAGAAGTGTGTATTAAAGGTCTGCTTTCCAGATGATAAAATATTACTCTTAGGAAAAGCAGAAATGCTCAATTCAGTGGCCTAGGCGAAGATGGTGAACTCCTGACCCTCCAGCATTATGGAAGTGAGTCAGGGCTAGAGCTGCTTTGTGTAAGCTACTGAATCTGGATTCCATGGACTCAGTTGAAGCTAAAATAAATCCCCAGACCAGCCACTTATACCAACTGGATGTGGATCAGTGGTGTTTTATGCCAGGATTGAGGAGCCCTCCTTGTATTCCCTTTCATTTCAAGTCAGTTTCTCGGTTCAAATGAGGTTTTTAATCTGCACATGGCACTACATAACCCACTACAGATGACTAGAAAGCTTTCAGGAAATGCAAGAATTAATGCATTACAGACATTACTTACTGGTTACTACACTGCTATTCATGACTATCCAAGCATGCTCTGAATGAGCAAATAATACTCTTTGGATCAAGCAGTTCATTGCTGCAAGCTGAAATGTTTTCCCTGCTTGGGCACATCTCAGAAGCTCTATGCCATGGTGTACAGTCAGCATCATGAGAGCAAGGAGCAAAATCCACCCCTCTGTTGTGACTGGTGCCTTGGCTATAGCTTCTGTACTCTATTTATCAAAACCTTAACAGAAATGGTATGTCCAACATGATCTGGAGGTGGACACAACACAGCTATGGTAATTGCTAAAGGAGGTCTCTGGGAGTGGGAAGTGGAAAAGGAAAGCACAGTTTGATACATTTTCATGCCTGGACATTAGAAAAGTTTACAGAATTTATGGGGAGGACAGATTACATGACTTGGATGCTCAGGTGGAAGAAGGGCAGAACTCAGTGCAGGCAGAGACACTGTTAACTTTTTGAAGTGCTAAGTCCCAAGCTAAATTTAGTACAGCCCAAGGCTATTTCTGTTGCACTAGTTTGTAGCAAAGCTTTTGCAGCCATCTGGCTATTGAGCAGCACCACTGCACCCCTGCCTACTCCAGCAATCATCTGCTGTCTATCCGTGGCTGCTTTCAAGTCATCTTCCCAGAAACACAGAAGTGGCTTTAGCAAAGATGAAGGTCTGGCCTTAACTTCCAATGATCTGTCCTTGAAACTGGGAAGTCCCAAGTAACATCACTTTTGACTAGTTTGGAAGACCAGAGACCAGCTTTCAACACTGTTCTGGGTGGCCTTTTCCCAGAAGGCACTCAGTACCTGGTGTGATTGGGTCTGTGGCAATCAGGGAATGGTGCAGGCTGATGTTCAGTGTTGTGACTTTTGTATAAAAGTATTCTGCAGTGGGAATTCAAACCACTGACCCAGACCATTGCTTCTGAATGGCAGCATCTGAACCTAAGACTTCTCATACAGATTCTGCAAAGGAATGTGTAACATCATTCAGCTTTTAATAAATGTACTTTTTAAGAGATCCTTTGCTCAGTAGATGTACTACTGTACCAGAGGAGGTAGAAGACACATAGGTACAAACTACAGATCTCAGTCTCACCAGAAGGTTTCATTGTCCATTCCTTCATTTGTCAAGTAGTTATTCTGTAAATACAGCTCCCGCAGACCTGTGAGTTCACTGAAGGCTCCTTTGGGAATCTTCTCCAGCTTGTTGTTCTAGAGCCACCAGAAGCAGAAAGCACATTATTTGGCATGAAACGACACAAGACATTCAGGTTCTGCTCAACTACCATCAGGCAATCAAACTTCAAAAGGGCCAGACATAAGATATTTCAGGGAGCATGATAATTCTGCTTAAGAAATAAATACTAATACCAGAATGAAATACTGCAAGCTGCTTTTATCGATTCCCCATGGAATCTTTGGGTTAAGAAGGCAGAATTTGCCCCTGCCTCACAGATAGTTTTATTTTGTATTCATAGCCCTCCCACCTATGTGCAAATGTATAATGTGATACAGGAAACTACCTCTGGAGTTTGCTCATGATTTCTGGAATTTTTAAGACAGATTTCACCATAAAGAAGAATTCAACTGGGAGCTGGGAACCTGCCACCCTCCCAGATATTCCAAAAGGTGCAGTTCCTGCAATGTAGATCCCAAAACAATTACTTCTATTGCCTTAGCCTCACTCTGGAGTAGCCAGTGAGCAGACATGAACAAAATAATCCAGAAAAAATCCAGAAACTGTAGGAATTATAAAAGGATCTATAAAACACTGCCACTGAATTTGTTAAACTTCCCACAATCCATGTACACCCAAAAATGTGGTGGACAGACTAAACTGGATTCATGTGCCAACTAATATAAAGTGGATGCCACCACAGACAGATTTGGCTGAGTGTCTCAGTGAACAGTGAAAGAAAAAGCAAAGCTCTGCTACATCTAAAGTACACCTTCTGGACACTCTGTCCACTGCTGGCCATCTCTCACTTCTCATTGACCTGTTTTTTTCTCAGTCAAAATATCAAGGCAAATGTTACTACTGAGAGGCAGTGCACATGGAAACAAAATGCTCATTTCTCTCTTCAGCTCCTCTGCCCTTAACACAATTGGTGGCAGCAGGGAAGGATGTGAGTTCAAAGTGTAATCCTCAAAGTCTGAGACCCCTTTGGAAGATAATAATCACCTATAAATGGCAATACAATGCAGGGGTCTAGTGACTTCACACTTTGCAGAGAAATTCCAGCAATTTAAAGGATCAGACTGTTTGCCTTTACTTTTCTTCAGGCTGGAGAAGCCTCTTTTCTAGAAGACTTTAATGGGAATTAACGGCGAAACCTTCGAGGGAAAAGAAAGTTGGGAGGCAACATAGAACTGCCTAAATTCAGGGGCTGATAACAGGCTCCAGTCTACACACGTCCAAGGAGCTGTCAGCGCTTGGAGAAGTAGAACCAGGACTCCCCACTGCTACTGCTCTCCCATCACTAACAAGGCTGAGATCTCTAGCACAGACATGATGAAGTGTTTTTATCAAAATCAGATGACATGGAATTAAAAATGCTGGAGACTACTTAATACTACAACTTCTGCTATTGCACTATCGCTGGAGAAGTTGTAGCAGCAAAGAATCACAGATCCAAACTTCCTCTGTGTCATCTGAATCGCCAGTTTGGTAGCAAACAAAAACCACTGACGCTAGGAAACAGTAGTCTGTGTGAAGTGAGTTAGCAAGCAAAGCCAGCACACAGTGGGCAAGCAGCTGTCAGGAAAACAGCATCATCAGTGGCCAACTTAACTGGGAAGCCAACAACTGGATGGCCATAGAGAAGGATCTACCTTCTTGCAATAATATGTATTAATACCATTACATGTAGGGAAGAGGCCAGCAATGCCACCACACTGGCACTGGCAACACATTCCCCTGAAAACAGAAAAGCATTTTGCTCCCTCTGAGCATGTGTTTTGCAAAAACAAACTGTTGCTTATGAACAAAAAGCAAGGGCATGGGAGACAGCTACTGTCGGGGATATAGCAGACAAGACTTGCAATGGGCCTGGGAATGTTTCCAAGTGCATTGAAATGGCTTGGCTGTACAAACACAGTACTTTGTCACAGTCATAAAAGAATACAAAACCTTGTTGTCATTACCTTTAAGTGTAATTTATATAGTGCTGGAGGGAGATTCTTTGGAACATACTTCAAGAAATTGCTGGACATGATGAGTATCTCCACATTATTAGAGCCATTGAACATATTATCAGGTAACCCAGCATCTGAAAGCTTGTTGTTGTGAAGATACACAGATCTGTTGGAAGGAGAAAAAAGATGAAGTTAAACAGACAGTGAGATCTGGGGGGACAGTGGGTGTTTACCATGAGAGGGCTGTTTAAAACCTGCATGTCAATCTTTTCTTCTTTCCTCAAGTTGATTCAATATGGTTTTAAAATGTGGCCTTTAATTCAGTAAGGAATACAGATGCAAAACCAACAGGTTGGTCCAAATACTGTCTGAAATTTAGCTCTATTCAAAATCCAAACCTGCACATGAATACTAATGTCACATGTACCTTTATCTTCTTAACAAGAAACTGAGTGCAAGTCTGGGATTGTGCAGTGCTTTGAAATAGAGAATGTCAGTATGGTGGCCTCATGTGAGAGGGTTAAAATTCGTATCTGAATAATTGATATGTCCCCAGTTTTAACTTCTGCTTGGAATCAAACCTGGGCAAAATCAACCTGCAGATCTCTTAAGAAAGAGATGTCTCTCACCCCTCCATTCATTCTGTTCCCATGACAGCTGGAAATACCCCAGGAAACAGGTTCTCTTCTACTCCTAGAACTCAGGCAAAGAATACCGACAGGAAGAGCAGATTTCTCAATCTGGAAGAATTTGGGTTTTGAATGAACCTTTGGGATTGAGAGAAAGAGGGTTTCTTAATCTCCTTTTGCTCTTCTTACTTTTAGCCTTTAATATTCAAGGAAGAGTTTCTCCAGTCAGATTTTTAAGAACAGATTCGTTCTTTCTTACACAGGTTTTAATTCTGCATAAAGCAATGGATGCCTATGAAGTTATTCCTGCTTTTCTTTGGTTTTAACTGCAAAAGGAATTCATTTGACTTCTTTTTAACACAAGAAATGGCAGGATTTTGCTGACTTTGATTACCTCTTCCTTCCCTGTGCTTACCCCAAGATGCACCAAGCCCCTAAACTTGTGGAGGCAGGTTAAAATTCCAAGAGCAAAGTGTCAAAGTGTGCTTTTCTAACTTGATCTTGGATTCTTTACCAGTTGCAGAGAACTTGGCAACATCTTTCTGGAAGGAAGGAAAGGCTCAGTATGGAAACACAATCATGTGATCACACCCTCCAGGGAGTTCAGAGCCACACTGAAAACATTGTTCACCCTGCCTGGTCAGCTCGACTTTTAACTCACAAATATTTGCCTTTCCTAAAACCTTACTTTCCAAATAATCCATCTGAGACCATGAACTCTACTGAGGGCAAATAAACCAACTGGAACAACTGTGTTTGTTAGGGTTTTATATCAGCAATCTTGGAAATCAAGGAGTTATTATTCTGATTAAAAGCAGCGCTGGTATAGGAGAGTGTGAAAGTCACTTCAGAAGAGTGCTAGAATTTTAGTACACAATCAAAACACAGCAGCTTCTGCAGTTTAGATTAAGAAATAACACATGTATAAATCTAACTTCTTTCATGATGAGATATTGCCAGGAATCGGTGAGCAAATCAGCCTTTTCAGCTACCACGAGCCTACCAGACTAAAGGCCAAGTAAGTTCAGTGTAGATTCAGCTCTCAATGAATTCAGTGGGAATGGAAAGCTCTTCAGTTCATCACAAGACTGAGCTCTAGGAGCTCAACTGGGCCAGCTATTATTAACTGCTTTCCAACCTGGATGAGTACATTGCTACCAACAGAGTCCGAGTTGTCTTTGCAGGATATAGATGCTGTGGTGTCCTTACGGATTACTCAAAAAGCCTTTGGAAAAGACCATATCTCACAGGAGGTCATCTACGTGCATCTGAATTTGAGAGGGGCCAATGTGCTGCACTGGATCCAGCTGAGAAAATCACAACCTGAAACTAGCAGAGAGACCTTTGAAACCACACCTGAGGGTATAAACCACTCTGACGGTGCTGACGTGCTTAGCTTTAATATAGTTGAGTACTGCAAAGTGCTGTACTCTCAACCTGATTCCAGTTTTAAATGAATGGACTTATTATAAATCTAGGGATTCTAAACAGCTCATCTCCATTTTGAGAAACTCTTTTCAATTCATAACTGACACACAAAGAAAATGGAGACAGTTCAATTTTTATCTATGAAAACTGCTTGGCAGCTAGGAAAAGCCCTTGGAATGTATTTGTTTGAGGGATTATTTGATCTTTCATGCTGAGAATAACAAACAGGCAGCTTCTTTCCAAAAACCATAAGCAGGCAATAACATGGTTTAGCCAGATAGTTCTTATCACCCACCAACTGCATCCAGGCAGTGGTAGAACACTGTCATTGTTTTACTTCCTGACCCCTTACCTCAGATTTGGTTTCTGTCCAAAAGTGAGCCCATAGATCTTAGTGAGATAATTGGCTGCAAAGTCTGCACTGATCAAGGTGTTTGGTAGGAATTTTGGAGCCACTGTTAGCTGTAAAAGAAATATACAGGAGTTTTCCCATGAAATGCAACAAATCTTTTAACCAATGATTAGACCAGCAACAAAATACTTGCAGATTTATTTTCTCTAAACAGGCAAAAATAAAAGAAACTGAATGCAGATTGCATGAATGAAAACAAACTGTCCTCATTCACTAATCTCTCCAGGAAGGAGACAGACCTTTGTTCCAAGGTAAGTGAATGTTTGTTTTGGTTGGAGGAGTCCTCTTTTTGGTGGAAGAAATCAAGAAACTGTTATTCAAGAGAGCAAACACTTTGCTTATTATTGTTCCTAATTCCTCAGCCTGCTGTGCCAAAACAATCCAACCCACCCCACAGTGGCCTACTATTTACCCTCTTATCAAAGTATACTATAGGGGAAGAGTGTCACCTCATATGTCTGTTCCAATATTGTATCTATTTATGATGATGTTTTCAATGGAGGGTTCAGGTTCTCAAAGGGCAGAGATGCTTCTGAGCCGAATGATGGAATAAGCAAACGGGACATAAAGTAAAGACCTACTGTACAGTGGTACTTCGTTCATTAAACAAGTGATGTATCAGAAACAACATACAGCAAAGTCCTGCCTCCAGAAGCTGACAACTGACAAGAGGATTTGATGTGTTTGCTCTTGGTCTATTGCTATTTTTACCAGTGATTTTATAAAATAACGCTAAGAACACCTGCATTTGAACAAAAACTGGTGGAGTAAAAAATAATGATCAAAAAAAGCTCAGTCTTACAGAGCACCTCTATAATACAATAGCTCCATTCACTGAGTGGCTGCTAACAGCAAACCTAGAAACAAGAATAGAGGTGACAGTACATAGGCTGGGGGACAGTTTTCTGGGAAGCATAAACCTAAAAGATTTGTGCATCATGATTAAGCCCTTGGGAAACTATTAACACAGTGCTGTAGTAGGCATGATCCTGGAGCACACAACAGTAGGCAGGTGCCATTACCGTGGTTACAGATGTTAAGTATAGTACTAATGAGATCACTCTCACAGCATTTTACATCCACTCTGAAGGGCTCTGGAGAGAACATCTTTTCTAGGGGGATTCTGAATTCTTTGTCATTTAAAGCTTCAAGATCAGGATGGGAAACTCTGGGCAATGGAAGAGATCAAGCGTCCTAGCTTGAAGTTCTTTGAATATGTAAAGCTTCCTCCTCACAGCACTGTTGCATGAAGCAGAGCTCAGCCCTTACAGGCAGCAAGGCACAGCAAGGCTCACACGATGAGGAAACTTAGTTTTCAAGTTTTTATTACCATAAAACTGCACTTGGTTATTAATAATATTGCAAACTGAGAAATACTTAAAAAGATGAACAATGTGTGAGAGAACAGACGCTTCACTGGAGAACTGCCTAACCTAAGCCTTGAACTACACACTTACCTAAAGGTTGCCTAGATCTGTCTTTACTCATTTGTCAAGTGTCAATTGAAGGACTATATCCATGAACTTGCAATTTACTGGATTCATAATACAGTCCTGGCTTTTAAAAGATTAAAGTACATTATTTACTGGTTTTCATGTTCACCTGCGCCAAAACCTCCACTCTTAAGCTGTGTTGAATGTTTAATGGTCACAAACACAAGGCAGATCTTTCCCACAATCACGCTCCTATCAGTGTTTCTAGAGAGTATGTAAGCAGTGGCAATAGGCATTTGACATACTGCTACAGGTGCCACAGTCCTGCTCTTGGCTTTGCTGGGAATCGTGCAGCTCCTGATATGGGAGATACGATTTCAGGGAGGTGGATAAAGGCACTCATCTCTGACTAGGAAGGTCTGGTAGTGCCTCAGAAATAAAACACTACCATGACATAATATTGGGAATTCAGACACAAGAAACCAACTTAATCACTTTCATACTCAGTGGCACATGAAAGCTTTTCTCCATAAACACAGTCTGTTAGGTCATAACTTTTACACATAACAAAGGGTATGGCTCAGATATGTGAAATGAGAGCCATCAGAACCACAAGAAAGAGGAAAGAGAGAAGTTTCATCCCAAGAGAGTTTTCACTTGCTCGGGACTTTGCTTTGGCATTTCAGCACTTAGTCATGAGACTAATTGATCCTCACTGGCTGACTGCTTGAAGGATTAGTGCTGGATTGCTGCAACTGTTAGCAAAAGGGAAGTGACAGAGCAGCTTTGCCTAGCACATTGCCTAATCAGTACCAATCTGTGTTTCTCAGCTACAATTATCTTGCAGCCTTATGGCTGGATCTTCCATTTCATATGGGAGATAGTGTTTCTCTACTGTTAACTAATGACTTAACCAATGAACTCACAAGGATTATACAAAAGTTACTGCCAGTTTTAGAACAAGTTTTCTTGCTTCTAAGAAGCTTTGACAGAAGTACTGGTCCAAGTGAATCCCAAATCACTCTGGGGATATGGGGAAATGTAAGACCTTCTGTCACCAAAATCATCAGCTTATAGTAAGTAATAATGACAGCTCGGGACCTGGTCTACAGTTTGGTGGAAGAGACTTCTGCTATTAACAGGGCTTAGTGTGAATGTTATGTGATAGATCCAAATTATGAGAGTGGGCTGAAAAATTAAAAAGGAAACTACAGAATCCGTTCATTCTCATCTTTGTCTTGAAGTACTCGCTACTTGTAAGCCACAGAAGGCTTTTAGTCTGTTCTATTTCTTTTCTCTGACCAAATATGCTAGTTTAACAGCAGATAATTTAGCTACATCCAATGGGATCACAATTGGAGATAAAGCAGCATTAAAATGATCCATAAGACAAGGAGCAAACTACCAGCAAATCCCTGCTCTCCTCCAGACACCACAGTTACTTGATCTGCAGCGTTTCCTGCTGCAGAGTGGATGCAGTTTGAAGCCAATCTGGTCTGTCCTGGCTTGGGACTTATAAAGAAATGTGTTATTTTTGTGGGTCCACAACTTCTCGGTATAACTAGTTCTGACATTCGCTGATGTTTGCATTTTCTTTTGGGATCCTTTTCTCTCTGCAGTAAAGCCAGAAAAACCAAATACATTGTTTTGTCACACAGGGAAAATTGGAGTGCAAAGTTCTGGAATATTAGTCACAGTCTGGCTTGTTCATTTTTATGGAGTTCTTAACTGCCAAGATTGTTATATGGAAATGGTGCTTGAAAGGGAGAAAAGAACACAATGTTACTGTACTGAGGAATGGGTTCTATTCTCAATCGCTCTATACAGAAATCTGTGGAGTGATTCTGGATGTGTCTTGGCCTGACTGAAACCTGAATGTGGGCTCATGTATATAAACAAAACATGAAAAGGTCACAGAATTTAAGAGGATAATAAAACATATATACAGACATGCATATAAATATATATTGAGAGAGAGAGACTGAGGGATGGGAGGGTTTTGTAGACAAAAGCACCTCTGTCTGATGTTTAACTTATATTTCTCTGTGGCATCCCAGTTTCTTCTGTAGCAAATATTTGTGGACAATCACTGAGGATAAAGAAAGCCATAATGGGAACCACCCAGATGTAAGTGTATGTGAGAAGTTATTTCATTTCCTAGGCTTGGCAGGAAAGATGTGCTTCTGTGAGGACATCCAACTTGGGTCATTAATAGGAAAGCACTAGGATCTTCTCCATTAAAACAGAAATCCAGCTCCTACCACTGCAGCTAAAAGAAGAAATTCGTAACTTGCACAGTTTCACTGCATGTGGATATACCCCTCTCTGCATCAAACATAGTAAGAATAGCAGACAGGGGAAACTGGATAGATTTTTATCGATCTTGATGGCTAAACCACTGGGATGTGTTTGTTCACAGATTTTTTCAACCAGCCTCCTCAGATGAGATATGAAACATATGTAGCAATAGGACAAGGAGGAATGGGTTAAAATTTAAAACAGGGGAAGTTCAGGTTGGAAATAAGGAGGAAGTTCTTTACTGTGAGGGTGGCAAGGCACCCACACAGGTGGAACAGGTTGCCCAAAGAAGTTGTGAATGCTCCATCCCTGGCAGTGTTCAAGGCCAGGTTGGACAGAGCCTTGGGTGAGATGGTTCAGTGTAAGCTGTCCCTGCCCATGGCAGGGGGTTGGAACTGGATGATCTTAAGGTCCTTTCCAACCCAAACCATTCTGTGATTCTATGATTACCCCCAGTTTATTTGCATACAGACAGCTACCACATCTGCATGCAGCTGCACCAAAACCTACTGCAGACAGTGGTAATTTATAAATACAGGGGCTCCCCATACCTCCCTACATACAAGGGAAACCCTTCACCAGTTGCACACATAAATCAGTGTTCAAAATACACTGGCACGTGTACCCTCTAATCTTTTAGCATACTGATTGTCTTGACCTTAGTTGAACCTGCATTAGAATATCACTTTAGCACAACTGTACTTAAGTAGCATGTATTTATTAAAGGAACTGAAGACTTCCTTGTTTAACTCTAAGAACCTGGATAGAAAATAACTATGAAAGCCTTGTGAGCCTCTTACCTTATTGTTTGCCAGATACAGGTAATTCAGGTTCTCCAGATGCTCAAAGGCTTCCTCTGGCAACCCTTAAAAACAGGAATAACTCATCAGAGATACCAACACCTTCTTGCCTCTCTGACTGAAGGTACCAGAGGGCAGCTTCCCCTCTCAGATATTACATGTAATGTGAGATTTAAGCATTTTTCATTGCCACTGAAAGGCCTATTGTTGTCTCTGTTTTGTTTTTTTTTAAATTAAAAACAAGCAAACAAAACACCACCACCAAAAGCCCCCCCAGACTGTTAATAGTAATGGAAGACCATTAAAAACCTAACTATGGAAGCATTTTAATTTGGTCTGTGGCCAACCCCAGTGGCAAGGGTCAGGTACAGAGCTGTGATGACTCAGTTGTACAGCTAATTATCAGTGCTCACAGCACCATGCTATTGAGAAGTTGGTCATTTGCTCATGGATCAGCCAATCCTTTTTCTTGGAAGGGCATAATCTGAGGTTGTTTAATGATCAGATCAGTCTGATCTATGACCATGATGTTACCAAAGTAACATAACACCTGCATGTCATAACCCGTCTCTTGTTCTGCTCTGCCCCAGTCCAGATAGGAATGCAGGAACCCCCTCAGACAGCTGACCCAACTTGGAGCTTATCATCCCCAATAACTATTAATTTTCAGCTGAATCTCTCCACATCCAGCTGATCACACAAGCACAATTGCTGCCACAATGGCAAGGCTGCAAATAACATATTCACCTGGCACTTAGATAATCGTAAGTCAAAGGTGAAGCTATTTCCCATGTCAAAACATACTGGAAACTCAGGGCTGCACTCAAGCTTGGGAAAGAAACACCAAGCCCCAAAGGTACTAATGTCAAAGTCTGAATCTATTAAGCACAGCCTTCCTTGTGCTATGCCTGAGTGCCGTGTTTTGGGTCCATGCATAACATTTCCACATTGTCAATAAAGGCTGTTCTCTGCTACTGGAATAAGGGTAGCAACAGCATTCAGAGTAACCAGGTGACACACAAGTTAACAACAATTACATCTCTTGTATTGCATATCCTCTTAATATTTATTCCAATTCCTCCATTTCTTTTGCTTTCCTTACTAACCCCTTGGAGAATTTCTCCAATATGCCTATGACTTAGCAAGCAAAACCTCCCTACACAAATCAAAATGGTTTTATAAGGGTGATATATATTACTTGTATTTACACCAATTCAACAAGGACTGAACTGGACTAAACTGTACTGACTAGCCTGAACCAAACAAATGGATTAAGAAACAAGGTCAGTCACAAGGAAATCATTCGGCATGTAGATATTTCTGGGTCTCCAGTGCGCTCCATTGATGTGCCTGTGGGACCACAGGGAGTTTCCTGGATGAGAAGACCTCACGATGCAGTACACAGTGCTGCTGCCAGGTCTTCTCCACTGGTTCAATAAGGCTGCATTCTTACACACTGAGTATTATGTTTCAGATGATAAAGTGCCTCCATGACCTGTGTGATGGCCAAAGGAGTGAGGCTTATAGCTAATTACTCCAACCAAGTTAATCCATCACTCTCTGGCTTTCCTTATCAGCTGTCACTGGCCTCATTGCATAAGTTCGTGTTGTGGAGGCTCTGTCCACTTTGTGGCTCTGCTGGCTTACCTTTTGAAGTTAGCCTGTTGTTTTGCAGATTGAGCGTTTCTAGTCTGTAAAGCCGAGCAAGCTCTTCTGGAAAGATTTCTTCTATCTGGTTATTCTAAGAAAATGGAGAGTATTAATCACCAGCAAAGTAATCCAATAAGGATCCCAACAAACCCAGACTGTGAACTCCAGTGAAATCTGGAAATGAACCCACCGTGTCAAATCACTGTCAAGACTTCTTCACTCCACAGTGAGCCAAACTCAGATGTCAAAACCAAGACATCCAAACCCAGCAGTGTTTGAAGGCCTGAACCAAGCTTTGCAGCTCGTGCTCACCACCAGAAACATCCGGTTTATGCACTGGCAGCACACAAACAGCGTGACTGTGCCGGGCAAGGCCTGCAATCCATCTGCCACAGCCAAACCTCATAGCTGCAGCAAAGCATTCGCTACAAGGTTGGCACCATGGATTTCCAAGTTTATTACTTCTGTTATTTACAAGTTGTTTTAAAAACAACTGTTCGTGGGCAATGAGAGCCAAACTGGGCTCACTTTTGCTGGTTGACTGCCATCAGAATTTTATTAACATGCTGACTAACATTTTTGACCATTAATGAGTGATTCTAGTGTTTCAGCATCGAAGGGACCAGTTAAGAACCCACCATGCACGAAGCCAAGCCAATACACAGAAAGTGACAGCTGCTGCTCCAAAAAGCTCTTTGTTTTTGGCAGCAGAGGCAGGAACCATGGCTAGCACACGCCTGGGACAGATCTGCTGAGGAAGGTGCCAGCTACCATTGAAGCTTCTCTTGAGTATGCTGCACTGAGATGGAAAGCTCTGAACAAAATCTGCATTCCACCCATTGAACAGAATTGGCAAATAGGAGCAATAAACATAAAGCAGTTGGTTAAGGGCCAAAGAGGTACTGGAAAGCCTGGAAGTGCAGCCACTGCCCAGAGGAAGAGGAACACCCACAGGGCTGCCATGCTGTGGCCCTGCTCAGACCCTTGGAGCGCAGGAAGGGACACAACACCTGCCCAAACGCTGGTCACAATGGTCATTTAACTAATGACAGAGCATGGACATCTGCTGAAAGCTCAGGACAGACTGCTGCTTCTACCTGAAATCCCATATCCACACATGACCTTACCCTGACAAGACATGGCGTCTCTGCAGCGGAACCATTTGCTGCAGGCATGGCAGTAGTCTCCCAGCCGCAGGCAGCACAGCACCAGGCAATGCCATGGGGTGAGGGATGGCTTCAGCCAGGCTGAACGGGGCTTGGAGCACCCTGCCCTAGTGGAAGGTGTCCCTGCCTCTGGCAGGGGTTGGAACTGGATGAGCTTTAAGGTCCCTTCCAGCCCAAACCATGCTGGGATTGTGTGTCACACCTGCTCCTTGTGCTGGGTCTGCCTCTGGACTCGTGCATGGTGTTCACATTTCAATCAGCATGTAGTGCTGACAGAAAAATTCTCATTAATGAAGTGATTTAGCCCATCCTTTTCAAAGGCACATCACCCGGAACAGGAATTATGAGTTTGACCATTCCTTTTGTGGAGCTGAGACAGAGGGAGGAGAAAATGTTCCTGTCTTGTTTCCTCCCTCCATCTCTGGGGAGAGAATTACTGCTGCTAACCATGTGCATGTCAAGCACCAGTGCTGGGCCTGCTGCACCTCCTGCCTCCCCCACTCGAAGCCCAGGAGCTGCTGGAAGAAGCGGGAAGGACCCGGGTTCGGGTGAAGGTGAGGACTTGGGCCTCGCGGCCCGCGGAGGCCCCTGAGGCGGGCGGGCCGCGTGTGGGAGTCCGCGGCGCGGGGCCGGTCTCGCTCACCTGCAGGGAGAGGTGGTTGGTGAGCTCGGGCAGCAGCAGCGGGAACTCCTTCAGGTCGATGCCGCCGCAGTCCACGACGCCCTCCTGGGTGCAGCCGCAGTCGCGGGGACAGGCTGGGGCCGGGGCCGGGCCGGGCGGGCGCCGCTCGGGGAACTCGTTGTGTGCGGGCGGGCGGGCGGCGGCGGCGCAGCCCAGAGCCAGCAGCGCCAGCAGCGCCCGGCCGCCGGCCGGCATCGCCCCTGCAAGCGACACCGAGCAGCGGGGTCAGCCCCGCAGGGAGGGAGGCACCGGCGGCCCCGGGAGCCCCGGGTTCCCTCTCCCCCGGGTGCTGTCGCTTCCTCTCGATGCCCGTGTAGAAGAGGCCCTCAGTGACATGGGTTAGCGGTGGCCTTGGGGGTCCAAGTTGGACCTGATGATCTCAAACGTCTTTTCCAACCTCCTTGATTCTATGATTCTCTCAAGGTGGTTTGGGAGCCTGGCAGCATCCCCTGCACCATCCCTGACTCCTCAGGTCATTTACTGCTTTTTTATATTGAGAAACACCAAATGATCCCCAGGTTTATAGAGGAGGTTGTGCAATGTGACTGCAATGTAACTGTCGTGCTGCTCCCCACAGCTGTGCGCAGGGGAGGAACTCTCCTTGTGAATGCAAACAAGGTGCGCTGGGAAAGGAATGGCCTGTGCTGCCTCTCAGGGGGGCTGCTTCACATGCCTCAAACGATAACAAAACCTCCTGGCTACTGAAAACAAAATGGGCTTCCTATTGATTTTGGACAGCGCAGATCTGCACCTTAGAGGCCTGGCTAATGTTCAGCTTTTATCTTTCTGGCGGCAGGTTACAATAACTCGAACAGAAGTTGAA